TTGTGGCAGTACTTTCGAAGTTTGGTTACACGCGCGCGAAATTTACGCAGGGCAACGGCGCGGGAACTACACGGACTTTTCAAGGGGTACGAACGACTTACGACGAACTGGAGGAGGCGGCAGCAACAGTGGAAGGGGGGAGAGACAGCTGTAATTTTTACATCTCTGCCCGGGAGTCATCGGCGGATTGCGACAAAATGCTCGGCGAGTATGGACAAACCCGCCGGAGGTGCTGACATCATCTGACACTGATTCGTGTTCGACAATATTTTTCGGAGTGACATTCGCTACGGTTACTGCTTCGACGACCATCGCCGAAGAAATCTCGTCTTTAACTTCGCGACCAATCGCCTTGACGATCGAAATTTCGTAACACTCCCGATTTTACGGCCAGAGAATTTCGGGATACAGTCGCTCCAACTCTGCTAACGACACTTCGCCCAACTCGACCCGCCCACGACAAACGATTTAATTTCAGCCACGTCAGGTGCTGCCAGCTGCAACTGCCGAAGATACTGCAGGATTCTGGCACATGACGACAGCACAGGTTCAGTTTGAGCAACGACGAATTTTCAACGGAGTTTCTGGTCTACTTTCGCTGGTTCGCCCTTGAAATTTTTGGGGCACTTAACACCTGATTTCCTCATCGAGTTTCCACACCGACGCAGTTTCCACCTGGACTTCTACGCGAAACGCTTTTCTCAGTGGGATTTAACTCCTGGTTCTTGTTGTTTTCATCTCGGCGCAGCTGCGAAACTTTTTCAGTGGTACATTTCTTGGAGGGGGGGAGAAAGTGCGCTGCACTGTTCTTTCCTTGGCGTTTTCTCGGCTTTCTTCTTGACCTTTGTCAGGTCGCGTCAGCACGACGGACGATCGCGATTACACCGACACGATCGACGGCTCCAGATTGATTGCGCTTGAATTCCGCGTCAGTCTGTTCCCTCCAAAATCGCATCTGCCTCGACCGTCAGATTCGCTGCTGCTCGATCAACGGCCCACATTCCAACTTCCACTTCATTTTGGGCCAGCTCATCCTCATCCGTCAGATCGACATCTGACTGCATCTACGGCCCACAATCCAACTTTCATTACATTTGGGCCACTTCATCTTCGACCGTCAGATCGAAATCTGACAACATCAACGGCCGACATTCCAACCTTTTCAACAATATTGTCTGGGGCATTTCAGCCGTCGGATTCAGCTGAAGTGAAGATCAACGGCATCCTCGCTACTGGGTGACCCTTTTCAGTACAGGGCTGCCTTATTTAGGAGGTGGGAGAGTGTAAGGATTTACAAATCCTTACTGAGGCGCTCGATAGCGAGGCCATCCCGAGGGCCACGCGACCAACTGGTTCGGCCTACAATTTCGCATCCCAACCTCACCGAGCCGCCTCCGCACCAATCGCGACACTTCGCGAGCCAACCCTACCACACCATCCCCGCCTAGCTAGGTTTTCCCCTATTTAGGCCTCGCTACTTCATTGTTCAGGCATTCGGTAATTCTCATTCTCGTTATTCGATATCTGCGCACTCTGACAAGTTCATTCATAACACACACCGTGCAGAAATCCAGGCGTGTTTAGTGTAACTCAGGCTCCCGAAAAATGCTTGCTCTCGTTGGCATGCAAGGAGGAACCGACAGCCACAATTAGGTCGTGTCCGTAGGGATGACATGTCAAAGCGGGCAGTGTCAATTTGGCATTTTGACACTCAGCCAACATTGTTGGCAGGGTGTCAAGAAATTGCATGTTGCCATCCAATACAAATCGTCGGACACTTTCTAAATTGGCACAGTCAAACCTACAAACGAGAGAAGATGGTCGCAGGTGCCTATCTCACGACCAGATGCTGCCCAATCAGCACACAATCTGTCTTTTGAATTGTTCGCTACCTGGCAGATCCACCCATGACAAATTCTCAAACCAATGAAATTCTGTCGCTGATGTTCGTACATGCGCTTCGACTTGACACTTCAGCTACAATGTTTGACACGCTAATTTGAATGCGCTTCGGGTTGACACGCCTTCACTTGACATGTCAAGCCTACGGACACGAACTTAGACAAGGAACGAAACTCTGAAAGAGGCCCTGCAGTCCGCTGTCTCTGCGGAAACTGGTCCTGAGTTTCAAATCTGCGACGAACTTGCGAAAGTGCAGATTGGACGGTGCTTTCTTTGCCGATGTAGGCTCCACCGCAGAACGTTCGCCTCTGATACAATGACAATGACCTTAGCTCCATGGCCATGGCGGAGAGCTTTAACCCGGCCAATGTGTATCAATTTCTTACCTGATGTTGACATTAAAGCCTTTGGACGATGCGCGGCTGCATGCTCTTTACAATGGTGTTCTTTAAGTGTTCATTACGGGAACCTAAACACCATTTATCAAAGTTCCAGGCAATCGTCACTGCACTATCTACTGTCAACTAAGGTTTCTACGCAGGGTCAAAACCGCTGGCTACTCCATGGGGATCGTCGTTTCAAACAAGTGCTTCAGAACCAGACTCGCGTCAAAACCTATGGCTCCTTTTCCCAAGGTCCATCGATTCTCAAGGGAGTGTGTCACTCGTGTTGCACACTGTTCCCTAAGGATGTTGGTGTCACCTCGGGTCTGGACCTGCAGCGATTTGCCTTCAAGCACAGATTGCATAAAGCATCAGTGTGTATGGTGCTCAGATCAGCTTGTTTTGCGGCCGACTTTGGGCTGCCAAGCATATCTCATCATCGCACAATGGTGAAAGGGCGCAGCAACAAGCCTGGAAGGAAGACTGCTCAGGATAAGGTGACGATGGTTCCCGTACCTGAAGTACCGGAGGCTGATGCTGCAGGCAAGGGTCGAGATGCTGCAACGCCTCCCGTGGTGGTCGGCCCGTTCGAAGACTTGTCGGATCTGCAGAATAAGTCTGATGATGCCGCTGTGACTGCTGATGGTGACGCTGATGGTGCTGGTGAAGAGGTTGCGGATAATAAGGAACAAGCACCTGATGGTGATCAGACCGACGCTGATGCGGCCGTAAATGTTGAAGATGAAGACTCTGCCGACCCGACCCCTGACGACGAAGACGACGGCTATTTGAGCGATGACTCCGACGAGCACTTGGAACCTGACTCGCTCAGTAGTGTCATTGCTTTGAAACGCTTTCCACTAACCTTGTTGGTGCCGATCTTCAGGAAGGCCGAAGTTAAGCGTGCTGCAGTAACGGTTGCGGCTCTGTTGGATGATTACACGGATCAGCTGTCTCCTGATGTGCTGCAGACGACGACTTACCAGGAGCTTCCGGCGATGTATTTTTCAGGAACTCGCTATGGTCGCCTCCAGGTCACTTTTAATCACGTCAGGGACGCGAATTTCATCTGGAATCAAGTCATCCGTCATGAGTGCGTGAATGGTGACATCATCGACCTCACCTGGCAGTTCCCGGAAGATGCGCGTTTCCTTCGAGAACGTGTTTTGAACCCGTCGGCGAAGGAGGTGGTGGTCAAGGGTGTTCCGGCTGAGATAACTGCCGAGCTCATTCGTCACTTGCTGGTGGTGGCCAAGTTGGTGAAGCGTGGCAGAAGTGCCTTCGCCAGCGGTTTTGGCTTTCACCGTACGCTCGACCCGGTCACAGGGTTGGATACTGACCGTGTCCGTGGTTTGATTGTTCCTCATGCTGACGATGAGTACCGCTGGAGGTTTTTTGTGGAAGACCCGTCGACAGGGAAGCGTTACTTGCTGCACTTCCCGTCATTCACCTGCGAGCTGTGCAATGGCCCTCATTTGGCTCATTACCATGATCATTATGTTACCACGAGACAGGAAAACTTCACCAACTGGAACCTGACGGTCAAAAAGGTTCATGAGATGAACGGTATACGGCGCTCTGTCCACCTCCTTGTACCCTCGTTTTCCTTACCGCTTGAATCGCGCTTCCTGACTTTTACTGACGGCCGCTTTCCCACCTCTTCTCGCAGCTGCATCCCTGACAGCTTCAGCTCAGATGAAGCGTATCCTGAAGGACCCCGCTGTTGTACTCACCTCCACAGGCGGATTGAGGGAGGAGTGGGTGTGCGTACAGACCGTGTGCGAAAAGGCGCAGGGGAACCGGTTCGAACAGGCGGCGGCCCATGTTGCGTCTGCCAGGCACAAAGGGGGGCTGCGGAAAGACGGTGCTACAACGCGTGCCAGCAAGCAGTCTCAGAAGATAGCTGCTTTCAAAAAGGACTTCATCATCAAACCTGCAACGAAGTGATCAGAGGCTCGGGAAATGTCACCTGGATGGGCCTGGATGAGGCATCGTGCTGGATCGTGGGGGCGGGCTGTGTTGTTGGTGCCATGCTCTCCTTTGCTGTAGCCGGCTGTATTGTCGCAATAAAGCTTAACCGCCCGTGGATGCTGTGGGGCTCTGACCAGTGGATTAATGGATAAGCGCAATAACCTTACACTTCTCGAGCTCAACATCAACGGGCTCGGTAGCAATGGGAAGGAGGAACGATGCGGAAAATGGATATGGAAAGCTGCTAACAATGTGGTACTCTCCGACACGAGGATTCCAGCCGATCATAATTTTTGGACACAAGTTAGATCTGAGGCTCAGGCGGTGGTTGGGCCGTCTCAGAGGGCTGGGGGACTGGCCGTTTTGGGGTTCCTGCCAGGGATGCGCTTCACGGAAGTGGTTAAACATGAGTCTGGTAGGCTTCTGAGCCTATTGTTCGCATGGCGCGATTTGCGGTGTAGGGTGGTGGCTGCGTACTTACCCGCGCAGGCACCTGTTCGGGGGGTTTTCTTCCGGGATGTACTGACGCCGTTCGTGCAGGGCTTAAGTGCCTCTCCGCACACCATTCTCCTTGGAGACCTGAACATTGTAGCGGACCCGGAGCTTGATAAGTCTTCAAAGCTTGGAAATCCGGCGGAGAATCAAAGGCTCCAGCAGATTTGTTCGCGATGGGACCTGCATGATGCTTTCCGGAGCCTCCACCCGACCAGGAAGGAATACGCTTTCTTTTCCAGATCTGCAAAGATGAGCACACGGATTGACAGAGCGTTAGTTTCACACTCTCTACTTAATTGCGTAACGGAGGCGAAACACAGGATGGTACCGTACGGCTTGACGGACCACTGGTTTGCAGTGATGGTGTCGCTTAAGTCTGCGTCAGCTGACGACCATGGCCCGGGGCTGTGGAGGCTTCAGGCGCCTCAGGCTGGGGGTGAAGGTGTCAGAAATATCATATCGGCGGTGGTGGAAGCACAGGCGAGTCGACCGGAGCAGGGCTTGGAGAGGTTGGTGTCAAGCCTGCGTGCATGCATGAGAGCTCATGTAGCAGAGGAGAGAAAGAGGGTTAAAGCGACCATGGTGCACCTGGAAAAGAAAGTAGAGGAGCTCCGATGGAAAGTGATGGCGGACTCCTCCTCGCAGACTCTGTATGAGGAGTTGGTTAAAAATGAGGCGGCTCTCAAGCTCTACCAGGACAGCAATAAGGAGCGGTTGCAGATCCTGTCAGGGTTACTACAAGAATTGGCGGGGGAAACACCATCAGGCTTCCTGTCAGGCCTCGTTAAGTCAAGAAAGGCGAAGACAGAGATTACGGAGCTCACCTACAGAGGGGTGTTGAGGAAGGGAGCAAGTGAGGTGTTGCAAGCGGCATCGGAGCACTTTCGCGAGGCATATGCTTCAGCGCCGTCGCTTCCCCTAGCGGAACAGTGGCCGATTGAGGAAAGCAGGAGGCTGCAGGACGCAGATCGCTCGCAGTTAGTTGAGATATGGTCAGAGGAGGAGGTGTTGGCGGCACTTAAAGGCTTACCGGCTGGGAAGGCCCCGGGGCAGGATGGTCTGCCGAAGGAGTTTTTCGAGCGGAACTGGGGGTTGCTGGGCCCGGCGGTGATGAAAGAAGTCAGAGACTTCGAGGGGACGGGGACGCTTTCGGAGGCTTTCACGACAGCGGTCACGATCCTCCTGCACAAAAAGGGGAGCAGAGAGGACTTAGGCAACTACCGTCCGATAACACTGCTGAGTTTTTTCTTCAAACTGCTGGCGAAGGTGTTGGCGAACCGTATCAAGGTGGTTCTACCCAAGGTGATCTCACCCAATCAGTTCGGCTTCCTCCCGGGACGGAGCCTCGCCGACGCTGTCTCACTGGTGGCGGATGCGATTGATGCAGCGGAGCAGGAGGATGAGGACTGGCTGCTGTTGCTGGTTGATTTTCAGAAGGCCTACGACTCGGTGTCGCGAGAGTACCTGTTCAGGACACTGGGCAACATGGGTTTCCCAACGAAGTTCGTGGGATGGGTGAAGGGCCTGCATGATGGGGCGGCGACCAGGATGCTGCTGAATGGCTGGATAAGGGAGCGGGTGGAGATGGCCAAGGGAGTGCGTCAGGGCTGTCCACTTGCCCCATACCTCTTCCTCTGTGCGGTTGAGCCGCTCTGCCAAGAAATTGAGCGCAGGAAGCTGGGAGTAAGGAAGAGAGGGATTAAGGGGGATTTGGCCTACATTGGTTATGCCGATGACACGACATTGGTTCTGAGAGGGAAAGAGCAAGTGGAGGTAGCAGTACTACTTGGGGAATTTGCGGAGGTCTCGGGGTTGAGGGTGAATAGCGACAAGACAACTCTGATGCCGCTGGGGAAGAACCTGAGGAGGCTGCAGCCGATAGCTTCGCCTTTCAAATGGGCAGACAAGGGCAAGTCGGAGCGGTTGCTTGGAATCTGGATCACCTCGGGAGGCTCACCGGGACCTGCATGGGACAAAGCTTTTGAGAAAGTTAGTGCGGTGCTGAGCTGCTGGGAGACAAAGCACCTCAAGACATCGGCGCGGGTCACAATTATAAACTGCTACGCAATGCCGATTCTGCTTTTCCAGGCGCAGATTTACGCCCCACCATATGAAGTCTGGACCAAGGTGAAGCGGCTGTGCCATAATTTCATCTCGGGCGGCAGAGCGCTGTTGGACAGGCATTTCACTCTCTGGAGTTACGAGCTGTCGTGCAAGGGACGGAAGGAAGGTGGGCTGGGAGTGATCGATCTGAGACATCGAATCGACAGCACGGTGATCCAGGGCTTGGGGAAGGCTCTGGTGGAGCAAGAACCACTCCGGAACTGGCTGTGGGAGAGAACGGCAGCGTTCCCACTTGGCCTGGCCACGATATACGCGCATCCCTTGATCCTGAAACATTGGCTGGGGGGGGGCATGAGGTGGAAGGCAGCGGTGAAAGCGCTCTGGGACTCGAAAATTATGGAGATAGGAGACCCGGCTCACAGGTGGGATGCAGAGGAGGAGCAGCTACTTTTCAACCGCAAAATTTTCTTCAGAGGCAGATCACCATTCGGGAACCAAGCAGGCTCCCTCTGCCTGAAAGGCATCCGGCTGGGGGACATGGTGGCTAAGGGAGGGGATGGCAGCAGATCTCGTAAAAGCGAAGAAGCCCTGGAGCGGGAATTAGGAGGGGAGGAACAAAGGAAGTGGGCCTTAAAAGCGTGGGATGCGACACCGCAGGGGTGGAAGGATTTGGTACTCAATCAGTTGTCGGCGGAGGAAATCTTCAGAGAAACAAGGCTTGTTCGCTCCGTGTCTTACCAGCCGGGGGAGTTCCTTTACTACCAGCTACAATATGTCAGTGAGGGTGAACTGTATGGAAGGAGGGTGACCATCGACAAGAAGGGGTATATTTCGGAGATGGAATACGCCAGCGTGGTGAGAGTGGAGTTTCGGCGCGCTGCTCCTATGGCCGTCATTGACGGGAGGGCCCGAGGCCTGCTGGGTGCCCCGAGAACGCGCCTGCTCTACTCCCCTGTCTGCGAGAAAGGCGAGCGAGCTGATCTGAAGCAGCTGAGGAAGGCGATGAAACCCTCAGAGGTGCAGCCGAAGGTGAGTGTGCTCTTGGCACGGACGTCCTTGAAGACAGGCGGAGAACCTGGCGGCCGCTTCACCCTGAAAATCCACATGCCATCGACGATGTTCGCCCCAGGAGGGGGAACCTCGTCGACGTAGGTGCCTGTGGACTTCCAGGATGCCATCTCTGCGTCCATGGCTGTCTGCCACTGAGAGGAGTAGGGACCCGAGATCGCCTCTGCGTAAGTGCGCGGAGTGGGGATGTCTAGTGCATCCGGGTCTCCCTCAGGGGCAAGCAACCAGGCCACGAGATGAGGTACAGCAGCCGCGAGAGAGTCAAAGTCCTCCTGCCTGTCCTCAAGGACGTCCGTGCCAAGAGCACACTCACCCCCGACGGACGGAGGACAGACAGACGCAGACTCAGACTCAGCAACAAGGCTAGCAGCGTAGTCTAGACGACAGGCAGCAGCAAAGTCAACCAACTCAGCAACCAGAGCAGACGCAGCCGAGGACTCAAAGGTAGGGTCAGTGACAACAGTAGCTAGGAGACGCGTGACAGTAGGGTGCTCAGCGCGATACCGGTCAGACTCAGGGTTCGGAACGGCAGGCAAAGAGGACGCAGGAGGAGACGGTAGAGGGACACGCTGAGGAGCAGTAGAGGGACGCAGAGTCATGTAGTGAGTGCCTGGGACAGGAGGAGGACGCTCACGACGGACACGACTACCAGTGCGAGCAGGACGAACAGGCGACGCAGGACGAGACTCAGGCTCACGACGCTCTGTAAGACCTCCTGTGGGACCAGCGTAAGGAGAGGGAGCAGGGAGAGGCGAGGTAGGCGGTAACTGTGACTGCGGCTGGACAGGCGGAGGACACTCTACGGAGGGAGGAGGACAAGGAGGAGGAGCCTGCCCAAGAACCTGCTGAAGGAGCGGTACGAAGTACGGTCGCGGCCGCGCAGCGTCTCCAGAAGCAGAAGAGACTCCAGCGGCCGGGTCCTCAGTACCAGCAGGAGCTCCAACGTCCGGGTCCCCAGCACCAGCAGCAGCGCCACCGCTCGGGTCCTCAGCTCCAGCAGCAGCTCCACCAGGTGGGTCCGCAGCACCAGCAGCAGCGCCACCCCCAGGGTCCGCAGCACCGCTAGGAAGAGCACCCCCAGAGTCGGCAGCTCCAACTCCGCTAGCACCGCCAGCTCCAGAGTCCCCAGCTCCAGCAGCTCCAGTCGTAGTGCTCCCAGAACAACCAGTCCCGGCAGCTCCAGTACCCCCAGTACGAGCACCCCCAGGACGAGCAGCTCCAGCACCCCCAACTCCAGCCGAGCCACGAGGACGGCGAAAGCGCCGGACGTACCAGTCACGAAGCTGCTGCGGTGTGAGAGACTGCTCAGCACCCCGAACCGGAGCACCCCCAGACGCAGCAACCCGAGGCTCCGTAGGCTCAGTAGCAGCACCCCCAGGCTCAGTACCCGCAGGCGCAGCACCCCCAGACTCCGCACACGCAGGCTCAGCACTCCCAGTCGCAGCACCCCCAGGCACAGCACCCCCAGGCGCCGAACTCTCAGGCACAGTACCCTCAGCCCCAGCACCCGCAGTCCCAGCACTCCCAGGCCCAGCACCCGCAGGCTCAGCACCCCCAGACTCAGCACTCCCAGCAGCACCACCTGCAGCAGCACCTGAGTCACCTGTGACCTCGACAGGCTCAGCGACGGGAGGAGGGTCTACCTGAGAGACACCTGAAGGAGCAGGACCCTGAGGGGGGAGGGGGTCTACCGGAGGGGGGCCAGGAGCAAGGAACAGCGGCGGGGGAGGGAGGGGGGCAGTGCGGTAGGGGAAGAGATGGTAAAAAGGGACCGACTCGTCAAAGGTGACGTCCTGAGAGGCGAAGACCCGGCGCGAGGTGGGGTGGTAAAACTGCCAGCCAGGCGCGTCAGGGACAAAGCCAAGGAAGACACAGGGAAGCGTGCGGGAGGAGAGCTTGTCCGCAGACGTATCGCGGACAAGGGCACGAGCACCCCACACCCGGAAGCGCGACGCATCGCCAACCTCCCCCGTCCAACGCAGTGTGGGCGAGGTCTCCGGCAAGGAGACACGGGGCCAGAGGTTGAGCTGATGCGCGGCGTACCGGACAGCAAACGGCCACAGAAAATGGGGAGCCGCCGCGTGGACCAAGGAGGTACGAGCGACCTCCATGACCAGGCCAATGCGGCGCTCAGCAACCCCATTCTGCTGTGGGGAGTCCGGAAGCGTGAAGGTCTGCTCGATGCCCTCCGCCTGACAGAAGGTCCTCAAGAGATCGGAGGAAAACTCACCACCTCTGTCGGAGTGCAGACGCAGGACAGGAAAGTCCGTCTGGAACCGGCGGCGGAGCTGGAGACGAACTGTGCGGATCCAAGGGATCAGAACAGCAGGGACCTCACCCTTGGTGCGCAAGGGGAAGACCGTGGTGTAACGCGAGTAGTCGTCGACAACCAGCAAAAAGTACCGCTCACCGCCCTGACCACGAACGCGGGCTGGGCCCCACACGTCCAGGTGAAGGGTCTGCAGAGGAGCCTCTGTCGGGGGGAACGAGGAGGAGTGAGGAGCGGCGCGCTGCCGCCCCTCGACGCAAGGAAGGCAAGGCGGCGCAGGCGAGGCAGGGAGGGGAGGGAGGGACCTGGGAAGACCAGACACAAGGTGGCGACGGTGCATGCCACGAAGGCGTGGCAAGGAGGGGTGACCCAGGCGGTGGTGCCAGAGAAGAGTCTGGTGCGACAGGGAACGACACTCACAGGCGTGGGCTACCAGACCTGACGCAGACACCTGACCGACAGCAGCGACCTGAGGAGACGCAGTGGTCAGTGTGTAGAGACTCGACCCCGGCCGACGGGTAAACGTAGCCAGGTGACGGCCGGTCCTGGAGCACGTGCAGATCGCCACACGCTGTCCTCCAGGGGTAAAGGTGTCAACCCACTGATCCTGGATGACAGCGTTGCTCACCAGGTTCGTCGAGAACGAGGGGAGGTGGAAACCCGACAACGAGCCAGACGGAACCGCCGGACAAGGGAGCACAGTGGTGGACTGGGCAAGGACTGGGCCCCCAGAGGGGTCAGTCGTGATAGTAGGTATACTGAGGAGCCATAGCTAGGGTTGACCTAGCTAGGCAAGAGAGAATGAAGGCAAAAGAGAGCTGAACTAGCAAGAATGGGGATACAAATAGCAAACCCTAGAAGGGTTGTACTCGCTACAGAGCACCCCACTACAGGCTAGAGCATAATATTCTGACACACCCCCATAGCCAAAGTGGGGTGTAATCAGCAGAGGAAACAAAGCAGTACAAGCTCAGGGTGGATCACGATGTCACCACACATTCTGAGCACAAGCAAGAAGCAATAGTTTAAGGTGCACAATTATGAGCAAAGCTAGAGGCAGTCACAAAAGGGGCAAGTGAGGAGGAGGAGGCGAGACTGTAGGTGGAGAGGAGATAAGAGGCGTCGGCTGAAGCTGCAGACACACGGGCAACAGGAGTCAAACTGGCTCAGTGGCTACCGGAACAAGCGCCCCGGACTACAGGAGTAACTGGCTCCGCGGCTAAGAAGAGCGGCAGACGAGCAACGGACCCACGGGCGACTGGCGCAGCTGGCTACGACTGGGCTACCGGAACAAGCGCCCCGGACTACAGGTGCTGCTGACGACAAGACGGCAGCCTCCGCTCAACCTCCCCCGACTGTCCCACCCCCCTCTCACACACCCCCTGCTGGAACCCTAGCTCCACTCCGACGATACCCCCCTTAGACCCCAAACCCTAGGCTCCCACACACCACCCCCCTCAGCGGCAGCTGTAGCAGAGGGAGACGAGGGAGGAGGAGGAGCAGGGAACGGCACACTGAAGCTGCACCCCCATACCCCCCACCCCAAACCCTAATCCAGGAGAACGGGCAGAAGGAGGGGTGGGGCGCCTTCAGAAGCACGGGGGACAGCGGGGAGGACAGGGGAAGCGAAGAACGGGCCGCCCACGGGCCTGGCACCGCCTCCCGAACCGCGCGCAGGCGGTCCGAGCCGCGCGCGGGCCTGGCGCAGCCCGTACGGGCCGCGCGCGTGCCTGGCGCAGCCCGTACGGGCCGCGCGCGGGCCTGGCGCAGCCCGTACGGGCCGCGCGCGGGCCTGGCGCAGCCCGTACGGGCCGCGCGCGGGCCTGGCGCAGCCCGTACGGGCCGCGCGCAGGCCTGGCGCAGCCCGTACGGGCCGCGTGCCGGGTGTACGGGCCGCGTGCAGGCCACGACGGGCGACGGGGGGCGACGCGCGGGTCCCCGTCGCCCGTCGCAGCGCCTCCCGGGGGCGACGTGCCGAGTGACGGGGCAGGAACCCGTCGCGCGCCTCGGGGCACACGGCGGGCAGAGAACCGCCGCGCGCCTCGGGGCGCACGGCGGGCTGAAAACCCTAGTTTCGACGCCGCGCACCACGGGGCGCGCGGCGGACAGGGAGTAGCAGTAGCAGCGGAAGCAGTGAAGTGGGCCCACAGGCCAGGAACGTTAAGCTCTAATACCATGTCGTGATAGTAGGTATACTGAGGAGCCATAGCTAGGGTTGACCTAGCTAGGCAAGAGAGAATGAAGGCAAAAGAGAGCTGAACTAGCAAGAATGGGGATACAAATAGCAAACCCTAGAAGGGTTGTACTCGCTACAGAGCACCCCACTACAGGCTAGAGCATAATATTCTGACAGGGTCAGCCAAGGAGACTGGGACCGGTGCAGGAAGCGGTGTGAGCTCAGTACTGTCACGAAAGAAACAACGGGAAGCACCTGAGTCAAGGGTGAAGGTGTGACAGGCCTCAGCCGGTGCGGTACCTGAGAGAGCAGTCTCTGTGGGTGCTGTACCTGAGAGAGCAGACTCGCAAACAGCCGGGACAGCACTGGAGGGAGCAAGTACAGGG